ATCAATTATTTTCTATTTTATTATTTTTACATTTTAACATTAACAAAAAATTTAACCAAATATTCAGTTCTCAAATATAAATTAAATCATCATTTAATAATTTATAAAAATATATAATTTTAACTTAAAATATATAAAATTGGTTAAAATTTCTAAATATATATCATATGCAAATTCATAGTTTTTAATTATTTCATTACTAAAATTTTTATTTGTATATTTTTTTGAAATTAAAAATCAAATTTTCATATAAATGTAAATGAGTGGATTTGATAAGTTCAATTTAATATTATATTCTTGAATATTGCAAACAGATTTTTATTTTTTTCTAAATAATAAATATGTTGTCATTTAATGTAAATCAAAATATTAATTAATAATTAGAAAGATATATAAAATTTGTAAGATATATATAATGTGCAAACTTATAAATTATAAGTAGTAAGGTAATTTTTCTACTATTAATATTTTATTTGTATAAATCTCTTGATATTAAAATCATCTTTTGATGTAAATATATTTTTTTTGGTACTCCTTGTGATGTAAACATATAATTGATAGATTATTTATTCTGTTTGTTTATAAAATATTAATTTTAAATATTCTTTATTTTAATTTTTAATTGGGGTTGTCAAACATAAATATTGATTATTTATTTGGATAGACATTAATATAAATTGTATTATTTCGTTAAATATCATAATGCATGACATGGCTAAGTGGTTTCACGTAGAATCTGAGGCTTTTGACACTACACATGCAGTGTTCTGGGTTCAAATCATGTTATTAGTAATGTTTGCATTTTTAATCAAGTAAGTTGCATATCGGTCGATATCAGTGCATAGACCAATATACGATTGGTTGGACAGAATTCAGACAGGATAAACCATAACCAAATAACGGGATCTGCTCTTCACAAATGGGCGCCTCACATACACATTTATCATGCGGGAACATCTCATGTGAATAATAACAAATAAGTATGGAAAATGTTCCCAATGTATGATAGGATGTGTGTGTGAGGCACTTGTGAGACATCAGGTGTGAGGAGCAAATCCAGTCTCATTCGTAAGGCTGAGTTTGGAAGGAATATAAATGTAAATATGTAGAGTGCAAAGCCTTATATTTTATATGTATTACGCTGTACATATTATATTTACATTTGTACTCTTTCTAAACTGAGCATAAAATACTCCTCTGTTTGTGTGTGATAGAGAAACAAGCGACATGGTGGCTCGTTTGTTTTCATTTCATTTTGTCGTCCATGTAATCTGATCTCCACATGAGGCTGAGAGTTGTTTTTCTCGTGGTTCTTCTTTATCAGATAATGGAGCCAAAATCTCTTATATCACTTTTTAAGATTTGGATAGTTTTGGTTTGGACACCCGTTACGAGCTGAGAGAGAGATCTTCCCTAATCAAGTCACTGTTGACCTATCACTCGTGCTCTACGGTTAACAATTAAGAAAGAAACCATCTAACGATTCCTCCCAACTCACAGTCACTAAATTCACGGTCATTAGTTTCAGTTGCTAAATGGGTCCCATCAAAGTCTCAGGATTGGCTTGGCTTAGGTTTATGATAATTCCACTGGTGAGTTGTGACTTGTGAATAGGGATGCAAGTTGGTCAACCCAAGCCCAATCCCAAGATTTGGGTTCTAAGGCCCAAGCACTGATCGAGCTTGATCTTCTCGATCCAAGTCTAATTCACATTGTAATTTAATGAATTCAAGTTGGATTTGGGCTTGGATTAGGTCCAGGTTGGGTGATGAATCCACTATAAAATTATACATGTGATGATGCAGCGTTGGCGTGGCCAAGAAGATAAGGTGGCCATGTAGGTGGCATGTGACATCCGGGGCCAGCTCAATCATAACCCGAATAACATGTATGTATGCATTTATGTAAAAGGAAGGGAGATCCATCATATAGACGACCGAACCTTGTAGGAAGGTTGGGTAAAATTTCAAAAAAATTATTTCTCCTTTTTGAGAATCCTATTCCCTAATTTAGGAAACTGCATTTTCAATGTTCGTTATTGAAATAAACTGGACCAAATTTGAAACCAAAAGGAAGCAAGTAGGGATATACCTGATACGGAATAACAATAACTCCCAACGTAGGTGTTCACGCCCAAAGAGGTGACCAAAACTCGCTTCCACTGAATATGACACAACTTATGGTGAGGCAGGATCAACAAAGTGGTTCTTCAGCAAGAATCATGCAATGGGCTGGTGAGCACGACTTTAGATTGTTTCTTCTAGCAAGAAACAATATCAAGAAATATTCTTGATCGGATCCAAAGGTGAAAATTGAACTGGGTAGGGGCGGCAAGAACTGGAGGAGAATTCTACAGATTGTTGAGTGCATAAAATTGGTGAATTTGCCCCCTATTTATAGTCTTCTTTGGATTATCTTCCTAATCCAATTAGGAAAGAGTTTATTGATCCAAATCTGATATTTAGATCCAGACTCTTAAATGGATAAGACTTATCTTATCTTTTAGTTAATCCTAATCAAATTATAAACCAGAATTCGCCCCTTCTTAATTAACTCGCTTAAGCCCAGTTCCCAATGGGCTTAAAGCCCAATTAGTCACATAGCTCACTTTCCCTTTAAATGCTGGCTAGCTTGGCTCTCCTTGTATGGTGTGGGCCCCTAACATTGATCTATACATCAACCACATGGGTTTAGCCCAGCTTTTGCTTGGTCAAATTCACTGTAGAACACAGTGAACCCCTAAGTCCATCAATATGGGCTCTTAATGGGCTCAACATTTACACTAAATGGTCATTGGGTCCAGTCACTTTATGAAGGACCAAGGACTGTGGGCAGATGCAAGATTAGCCCATTAGGTATAATCCTTAATGGTYTTACACTTAACCTCTTAGCCCATAATGATCAAACACTGCCCGACAAGAGAGGACCTCTCCCTCGGCTGCAAGGTACAATGTTGTACTCTCTACTTACATGAATCCTGGGAATTAAAACCTTTTTGCAAACATTTTGTGAAACCATAATATATATGTATATCTCTATATAAATATATTTTGCAAAACAAATCTCAACATTTTGAAATCAACTGCTAGCAGTTTAAATTTCCATAAAAAAGAGTGCATTCCCCGATCATTCGCTTTGTCCGACAAAGGAGTTGACCCTGTCATTATGATCACCCACTTAGGTGAATTCTTGGACTACCCCAACATACCTAGGTTTTGACCCGTTTAAGGATCTCATTGATTGACATATCAAATACAGCCCAATCCGACACCTAGTGCAGTACCATAATCGAGTCTAAGGGTCAGGTGTAACATTCCAGTTTTGTCAATCTATCTTCAAGGTCTAGGGCAATACTGGAATTTGGTCCGGTTCAAGGTTTCAAGAAAACCCACACTAGGGTCTCACTCTGAAAATTGAGACAAGCCACTTTAACCCACTTGGCGGCACATTAGTGTCATCCAACAGCTATGAAAATTTTAAACTAACACAAGTCTCATAAGTGTCCAGTTTAAGGGTATTACACAGAAATGCACTAAAATAACATGAATCAATTATGTACTTTATTCATTTACAAAAAATGTCAATAAGTACATCAATCTGATTGGAACTAAGGGTATAACTATCTAACATTATGCACATTCATACGTACATACATACATGTGTGTGTGTGTGTGTGCATATGTAAATATGTAAATATGTAAATATGTATGTATATATATTATGAATATGTATAACCGCATCAAACTTTGGTTGAGACAAAGTTGGGCCGAGTTCAGGCTACCTAAGGGCAAGACCTAGGCCCAACCAAAAAATAAAAATAAAAACCTAAACTCTTGGACCCGAGCCTAACCCAAGGATAAAAATCCAAGTCCACCCATGTAAAAATAGGGTTTGGATCAATACGAGCTCAAGTTGGGCCTGCCCAAGTTGCACCCCTACTTGTGAATAGACTTAGATGGTGTTTGGTATGACTTCTGTCTAGGGTTCACATTTCGAGATAAATGTTGAGACAATGCTTACAAATGAAAAACAATTTGATATGTTTTTTTGCTATTTGGCACCATTTATTCCAACGCATTCCACCTATCCACATCACAATACTGTTGGAAGCAACGAAAGAGTGATGTGGGAAGCATCATTACACCTATCCACACCCAAATAACTCATGTTTTTCTTGAATAAACATGTAAATGCATGTGGCACGCTGTGTTTGGAAGCCGTGTAAAACCTCATTGAAGTAAAAGTCCATCGATGAGGTTTTATACAAGGCTGCATTTGTTTGAGGTGTAAATTCAAATTTTACATGAACCGGTTTAATGATGGATAGAAATTATGATCGGTTGATTTTGAAAATTTACATCGATTACGTTTGGTTTTCATGGTGTAAATTTTCAAACTAGGTCTCGATGGAAGTTGGGTCTCGACTGAAAAAGGAATGGACAGCACCCGAATTTGCGTCAGGTTCCATACCAATCGCAATGGTTTGTCGTAGGATTCCATTCAGAAAGGAGGTTCAACGGATCGAAAGAAATAGAGCTCTTAAAGCTGAGAAGCGACATTGCATCAGTAGGCAAGGAGTTGACGGATTCCAAAAAGCAAAATTCTAATGAGACAAGGAGAAAGATGGAAAGTGTCATTTTCGCCGGAAAAAGTTCATTCCAAAGGCGTGACATTCGGGTCCAGAGCTGCGTAACGCGCCGGCCGAAGAATGCTGGTTTAAGATGAAATGTTAAGAAGAGGCCCGCCGAGGGCCGGATTTACCTGTAAGAAATGAAATATATGTTCTCGATGACTAAAGACTGATGAGTGATATTGCAGAGAGATGAGGCAGAACGAAAACAAAAGGGTTATGACAGTGAACAGGGCAGGTAGTAAGTAGGAGAAGAAGGAATAGAAGAAGAAGGAGAAGACAAGAGATAGGGAGTGGAAAAAGGATCCAGTCGGAGGTGGGGGATGCCACTGTTGCACTGGTTCGCTCTCTTATTCGATCAAACAAAGACATGCAGCAGTCGTTGGAGAGGAGACACGAGATAACTGTTGAACAAAGGAAGAGGAAGGTAAAGTTTTACATTGATTTTATCGATGTAAACTTTTCATTGATTTTAGATGAATACACGGACAAGATTGCACTTTTACACCGATTGATGAGGTATATTAACACCTCTAGCAAATGCCTGCAAAATCGATCAGAGTTGTAAAGTTTACCCCGATTCGATTTTACACCTCTACCAAATGCAGCCTAAACCATTAAAAAGTTAACATTGGGCCTAAAAAACATAAAGGTTTTACATGGGCTTTATCGTTGTAGCATTTACATCGATAATAAATGTAAACCTTTACTTTTGATGAGGTTTTACATTGATTTGCAAAGTAAAACTCCACTCCATCCAAATGCCAACAAATCTAAATTAGAGTGGAATTTTACATCAATCTTCATTTACATTCCATACAAACACCTACAAAACTGAACCGACGTAAATTTCTACATCGTTCTTGATTTACATTGCTTCCAAACTCGATAGGTGTTTAGCATCGATGTTGTTGCTTCAAAATGTTTTATGAGAAAACAGTGTTGTATGCTTGAGGGTCTATTGCACCGAATTTTGAGAAAACAACTCTTTTTTTTTTTTTTTGGCCCCAATGCTGCCACATAGATTTTGTTTGGTACTAGTGTTGTATAACTATTTTCAGTATTAGTCTACATTATCTACGCCCCGGATGATGCCACATCATTGCATCGTTGGCAACAACGGGCTGTTTTTATGAGAAAACATTGAATTTGGTGTTTTTTCAAACCACACTTTCTCGATTTCCAAGGCATAGTTTGGAGCAACATTTTTTATGGAAAAGCAATACCAAATAAGAGGTCATTTTTTGAACCACCACTATTTCTGATGTCTAGGGGTGCAAGTCGGGCGGGTTGGGCCGGGTTTATGGTCAACCCAGGCTTGACCCTAGAATTTGGGCTTAAGGCCAAAGCCCAGCCCGAGCCCAAGATCAAGCCCGATTTTCCTAACTCAAACCCAACTTGCCTTGTAATTTGATGCGCTCGGGTTGGACTTGGGCCCGGGTAGGTCAATGAACCCACTCTAAAATTATACATACATATATGTATATATGTATGTATGTAAATATGTATGTAAATATGTATGCAAAATATCATACAAATGTTATATATACAAATATGTATGTATATATATATATATATATATATATGTAAATATATAATTAGACCGGGTTCGAGTTACCTGAGGGCTAGGCATGTAGGCTATTTTCAAAGAAAATGGCATTGGTGCCAAATACCACCCCGACCTATGTGACATTGTTTTTCTAACAAATGGAAGCCACACCAAACATGAAACATGGCCTTAGGAATTAGGAGGGAAGCCCGAAGCCGAACTAAATTACTCGATTTCTTCGTGGGTTCGACTATGATATAGAAAATCCCTTATAATGCTACGTTTGCAGCAATTATTGAATTTACTATATTAACCGATAATTAATTATTTTGTATTATAATTAAAATTTAAAATATTCAAAAAAAAATATGATTTTTTTTCCAATTCCTCCATGTCAGCGAAACAGTTATACCCCTCAGCGCAATTCGAAATAGGAGAATCCGTCCACCAAAGCTTTCTCTCTACCAGTCATGGCGATCAAAGCCAAGCTTCCTTTTTGTTTCTTCCTCCTCTTTCTTTTCCTTTTGCCGGCAGCTTTGTCACTGGCTTACCCACTGAAATCGCAAAGAGATAACAAGCAAAGATAAGGTAGGCGAGAGGAGGAGGAGGAGCAGCAGGAGCGACATAAGAGTAACCCCTACTTCTTCGATAAGCAGAGATTCAGCTCCCGGTTCAAGCTTCTGAGTGGTCTGGATAACTACCGCTTGGCTATCTTGGAAGCTGAACTTAACACTTTCCTGATCCCCCACCATTGGGATGCAAATGCTATTGTCATCGTTGTTAAGGGGAAGGCAACAATCAACTTGGTGCACAATGATAATAGGGAATCCTACAATCTTGAGTGTGGAGATGTAGCTAGGATTCCTGCTGGAACAATGGTCTACTTGGTGAACAAAGACGACAACGAAAACCTCCAGATAGTCACACTCTTCAGGACCATCTCAACTCCCAGCCACGTCTCGAAATTCTTCAGCGCCAGCAGCAAAGATGGGGAATCATTCTACACTGCATTTAGCAATGAAATCCTGGAAGCCGCTCTAAGTACTCCAAAAGACAAACTAAAGAGGATGCTGGGAGAGAAAAGGAAGGGAGTAATGAGGGAGGCGTCAAAGGAACAGATTAAGGCCATAAGCGAGTAGGCTTCTTCATCATCAGAGGGCGGGCGTCGGTGGAGCATACACAATAGTGAGACGAGGGCCCCGTTCAACTTGTTGAAGAAACACCCCATCTATTCTAACAACTATGGACAACTCTATGAGGCCCAACCTAACGACTACCACCAGCAGCTCAAAGACCTTGACGTCTCCATCATATTTAGCAACATCAGCCAAGGAGCCGGAGCAATGCTAGCTCCCTTGTACAACACGAGGTCGACCAAGATAGCTTTTGTAGTGAAAGGGAGTGGATGGTGGGAGATGGCGTGCCCACACATCTCCGGTCAGAACCAGAGAGGAAGAGAAGGAGAAGGTGATGGGGTATAGTATGAGAAGGCTAGCTCCCGTGTGTCTTCAAATACAGGTTTCATAATTCCATTGGGGCATGCGTTCACTGTTGTTGCTTCCGAGAAAGAGAATCTGCAAGATAATTGTATTCGGGATAAACACACAAGAAAACAAGAGGAACTTCATCGTTGGGAAAGAACACAACATGAGGAAACAAATGGAACAGGAGGCGAAGGAGCTGGCTTTTGACATGGGAGGAGTCGTTCTTTGTTCCTTGTCCCCCGAAGCAGAAGCAGCGCCACAAACACGATAATGGCGGACGACTGTTCTCCATCTTGGATTCTGCCGGTTTTTAGATAAACTGTAATTTGTAGGATGTAGGAGATAGACCTACTACTACTACTGCTGCTGCTACTTAGTATGTACTAGAGTCTGGCTAGAGTGAGTAAACATCAACTGTGATCCTTTTTGTAGAAAGAAAACAAATGAGCGAAAGCTTTCGCTTTCTAGTTTTGCTCACCACCAATGAAATAATAATGAAATGAAGGCTCTTTTTGGTAGTTAAAAAAAAAAAAAATCGAAACAGGAGAACTCTGTTCGAAAATCGACGACTTCTCAGTTCTTTCGTTCGAAAACAACGACTGTCTTCTTCCCCGTGCTCCTTCTTTCGTCATCCCGTAGATTGTTCCCCACCGTCATAAAATTATTACCGCTATACCCATGAATGCAACAACAGGAGAAGAAGAACTCTTGTTTGAAAATCGACACCTTCTCTGTTCCTCTGTTTGAAAATGACGATAGTCCGCCAGAGCGGCTTCTGAGCGACGTTTAACAGAGAAGACATTAACGTCTTTCTTATACTGAAATGAATTTCTTTTTTAAAATACAATTTAAATGGTTGTTTTTTAACCCGTATTCACCGAAACAGAGAAGGCGGATGTTGATTCGTCCATCTCATCCGATACGATATAGAAAATATACTCTTTTCATATCATAGATTTTCCCTTTCTTTAAAGCAATTAAAAATTGAAGAAACGGCTGGATGGAAAAGATCCCCGAAAGAATGAAAAACCAGCAAGTCCCAGATCGCGATCTGTGTACTCTGAAATAAGACGATCCTGATCGTTGCTTGCATTCTAAATCCAATGCTCATTATCTACTCGCGCCACTTTTCCGAAAATTTAAAGCATTTCACTCCTTGCCAGGTGCCAGGTGCCAGGTTACCTATTATAAGTAATACCAGGCTCGAGGCAACAATATTCAACAGCCCCTCTCCAATCGAACCCAACGCAGGAAAGAAAACCCTAATTCGCTTTGTCCTCCGTCCCTTCATTCTTGGAAATGGCAAGAACTAAGCAAACAGCCAGGAAATCCACCGGAGGAAAGGCCCCAAGGAAGCAACTCGCGACGAAGGCCGCTCGCAAGTCCGCTCCGGCGACTGGAGGAGTGAAAAAGCCCCACAGGTTCAGGCCTGGAACGGTGGCTCTTAGGGAAATCAGGAAGTACCAGAAGAGCACTGAGCTTTTAATCCGAAAGCTTCCTTTCCAGAGGCTTGTTCGTGAGATTGCTCAGGACTTCAAGACGGATTTGAGGTTCCAAAGCAGCGCCGTGGCTGCCTTGCAGGAAGCAGCTGAGGCTTATTTGGTTGGCTTGTTTGAGGATACCAACCTATGCGCCATCCACGGTAAGAGGGTTACTATTATGCCAAAAGATATTCAGTTGGCTCGGAGAATCAGAGGGGAAAGAGCTTGATTTTGTTCCATTTCTCTCTTCTTCTGTTTCCTTTACCATGCATCTGGGTTTATATGTATCTGTCCAGAAGGCTTTAGCTTCTTGTTTACACTTGTTTGATACCTTGGAACGAAGAATGCAAGGGCCATTAGTAAATTACAGAATCAAAAAGATTGTTCAGTTTATTTAATGTCTTAATTCTTTCTTTCTTGTCTAGCCTTCCTCTCTGTTTATCCCTCTGAAATTTTGTTGGGTAAAAAGGCTTGAATATACTTGGTGACTTTAACTCTTTATTTTCATTCAAGTTTTCAAAAACCTAAGTTGGGGAAGGATCATGAATAGCCTGGTTTTTAAACTGAATTTGGTAAAGTGACGAAGGAAAGATCAAAAGCAACTTGTCCCGTTTCGGCGTTTAAATTGTTGAAGATGTCTTTGGGTATGAGCTGGTATTCATCTGTCAATTGGATTAGATTTGGTTCAATCTGATCCAATCCAATGTGAATCCATTACAAATGGACCATGTCCAATCCAATCCAATGAATATTTTAGATCATTTTGGATTGGTCCAATTTAATGTCTGGATTGCCGATATTGCCTTAATCCAACACAATCCGATTTAATCTAATAAATATTTTAGGCCCAATAATCACTTTCCACTACCCAAGCCCCATGAACACATGTAATGCCCCATTTTCTAGCCCATCAATCACCCTTCATAGATATCTATATTGAATTCGTTTTTGTAGATACCTGTGTGCTTGTCTTTTCTTTATCAGTAATGATATCAAAATAGTATATTTGTAAAAAACAATATCAGAATAATTATTATTAGAAACAATAACCTTGTACACGACAAAGACGCTCTAAAACAAGAACAGATGAAGAGTAACCTTGTCAACAGATAATATATTGAATTGAAAGACTTTGAATTGCATTAGCAAAACATAGAAAGGCTTTGGATCACACAAGCAGAGATTATATTATTTTGGTGGTTTCTATTTTCCCCATGCCACTGAATTTCTTGGTTACAAGACCACATTTACCCCATGCCCTGTCACCAAAGCAGTTCCTTCTGTTAAAACCACAAAAAGCAGTTAAACTTGTAAGCTTATTGGTATTCATTTCAGGCCATATCTAAATCCACTCTTATAATCTAGTTCACTTCCTTAAATAAGTATAGGAAAAAATGGAAGAGACACCAGTATTTATGCAAAATCTGCTATTTTTATCTTGATTTGATAAATTGGAAATGGGTAAAACATAAAAGCGGGAAAATGGCTTTTGACATTACTAAGCTCCAAATAATGAATGAACAGTTCCCTATGACTTACCCTGAGGTAGATATATCGGTGGATGGTCGATCAAATGAAGGAGAGCTTGAATCCTTGAACATGGTGACTTCTCCAGATAAGTTTCATTGAGTTTCAAAACTGTGACCATACTAGAAAAAGGAGACTAAAAATTAATGGCCTTGGTACATCATTTCAGCAAAATAGAATGCATAAACTTCCTAAAATCTTTTACTAGTTTTTATTCATTGTTTATATGATGAATCTTCCATATATGCTTTCTTGTAAAAAATGTAGTCCTTTGTGACAGTTCTATACCTGTTCTTGATTAGCTCATTTTCCATAAATAATGAAATCTCTTGAGGCTTAAGTCTCGTGTCTAATGTTTAAAGGCTCACCGTATTGCACATTGGCATATATAAGACTTCACCCGCATTTTAAAATATTGTACACTACAAACAATGACAAACATTAGTCCAGAGACAATCAGAGTGAGGAAGAAGAAAGAGTGTTTTAAGGGTGCAGCTAAGGAGATACCCTGTCTCACACTCCAAAGTAGAACACATGCTGGACCATGATCATTTTATATTCCAAATTGTTAAGTTCAATAATTCTAAGCTGATTTGCTGGTAAAAGAAAAATGAAAAACTTATGACCTGATTTTTGAGGGTCAAATTTGCTCGTTTCTCAGATGTTTATATTCTCTTTTTGCTTGTCTTCTATTTTCTTTTTCCTTTTTTTTTTGTGTCTATTCTGTCATCTGTTCAGATAAATATTGTTTCTATGCTCTAAATTTTCATATTATCTGACATATTACTTGATCATCCATAAACCTTTGCAGTTATATTTCATCCTTGTATCCCTAGCTGGTTATTACTTCGCTCACATTTATCCTTACATACCATCCTAGACATGTAAAAAAAAGAAAATCCTTACATTGAGATTTCTGTTTCATCCTTCTGTTTGTGTTTGTAAAAATTACAATGAGATTTCTTTGTCTCAGTTTTACCTATATCTTTTCTTTATACTAACTAATTCAACACATTAAAAGATCATTTTCCTAGAAAAAAAAAGCATAATATGATGATTCTTCTACTCATTCCTTGGTAGATTTTCTGCTAGATTACCCTCAAATGGAGAAAATAACTCACCAATTACAAAATGTCAGGATTTCAGAACTGAGAAATACAACAAGGGCCGCAAGGGCTGACATAGTTACCCAGATCCAGATAAAAAAAAAACAACCCTATATTCAAAGGAATACAGATTCGGTTGAATAAAAAAATCCAGATCTAAGAAAGACAACATCAAATCACAGATCTAAGAGGGCTTTGAAGGTGAGGTTTTACACCGAGGTTACTTCAATCAAGTTTTTACATCGAAAAGAATTGATGTATTTTATACATCGATTATCCAAGTAAAAAAAAGGCTTTGAAGGTGAGGTTTTACATTGATGTTCGGTGTACTTTTACATTCCATCCAAACGGTCGGAAAACTGGACCAAAATGTTGTAAAAGTACACCAGACCGGCTTTTACACCGCAGCCAAACGAAGCCTAAGGAATTACAGCTATGAAAAACGTGATTAAAAGGGCAAGCTTCAAATTGGCTCATTTATCCAACCAAATACTACAAGGAGAGCAAAAGCCAAGAGGAGAGTTCAGGTACAGCTGAAGCGTGGAAATAACATCCTTCATAGTCAGATTCAAGGACAATCCGCCCCTGATCAAAACTAGTCTCAACACTAGACTGTCAAATATCTTGTCCCTGTTTCGGTAAATGGGGGCCATTAATTTCAAGAATTGAACAATTTATGTTTGTATTTCAGTGTTAATAAGTCCAATGGAAAAGAATGATTGCTGGGTGAATCGATTACCTGGGTAAGTAATAGCCCAACTCAGCATTGATAAATGCACTTATCCAGAAAAATGTCTCCTCAAACAAAGTAAATGCACTAACCCGAGTATAGAAACACTTACCTGATTAAATATCTTCAATAAAAGGGAAACCGACTTTGCTATATCAATATATCAGTACCCCCCTTCGATGTATTATTCCATGTATCATCTTTTAAAGAGTTAAGAAAAAAAAATCTAGCCAAAAAGTAAGGGCTTCAGCCAGAACAAACCGAGTCAAAAAGGAATTTTCATAGCTCTACCAGCCAAAACACCTGGATGAGTACGTTTGATAACTATTGCTGGTATGAATTAATTTGGCAGCAAATTAACAGTTCCACCAATGCTACAGCGACTTGATAGTTGACAGTGGACATAACCCTAAAATTGAAGTATACTTTCAATGGTAATTCTCGGCTATAGTCTATGGGCTTGCTGATTACAAGTTAAACCCGAAGGGCTTCATAATCTTTTGTTACATTACGAAATTTATGTGGTGAGAGATATGTTCCCAATGCACGCTGATGTGATCTTAGATAATTGTTCACTTGGGGAGCAGTAAAAGTGCAATCACAATTCACAAGCAGCATGCTTAAAGCTTATGACCTCTGCTTAATGGGATGCCCACCGGCCATAAGCTTGCCAAAGATATCAATGTCCAGGGATCTAACCAATGCAATTTCAGGCAAAGGTTTAAAAGCAATAGAACGCTATGCCTAAGGCAAGGGCATACAGCAAAAAGTAAAATGACACTCTTAAATTAAAAATTAATAGCGTAGGGTGAGGATATTTATTTAAATATTCTCTCTCCCAGTACTCTACACTGGCATACAAAATCCCAGAAGATATCATCATCATTCTCAGACTGATGACACAGGACAAATGGAAAAGTCTTTTTTTTCTTTTTCTTATTAATCCTTCTTCCAGAATTACAACCACCGCCATCTTCTGTGCCAGGCGGTTGCAGTACTCGATAATTTTATTCCTTTGCTTTATGCTTTCTGTTTTGCTTGCTTCATCAACTGTATGAATTCACCAAAAGCTGCAATCAAAAAATTAAAAAAAAAGTTGCAATAAGAGTATCTCCAACCAAGAATGACCCCACCCAAATTAGTGCATGTGAAGCAATCAAACATGTATGCCTACAATACTGACCCCACCCAAATATGATGATGCTTGGATGTCGAGTAATGCACTGCATCAGTGGGAATATAGAAAAAGTGTGCAACACAACGTCATTTTTCAAAACAAGAAAGTGTGCTTATGAAACACAATGTCATGGTGTTGTGTATATGTGTGATCTATATGGTTGTCTATGCTGAGCGTGTGATAGGGGGAAGTAAAAGGTAAAAGATTGATTTGTTACCAGGATCTGAATCATGAGGTCCAGGAGATGCTTCTGGGTGATACTGCAGAGACATAATATTTAAAGCAGGGAAAGCAAGACCAGCACAACTTCCATCATTCAGGTTGATATGAGTCACTTCAACACCCTCTGGAAGAGATGCAGGGTCAACTGCATAATTATGGTTCTGCAACACAGATTTTTGAACAGAATAAATGACAGTAAACAGGAAGAAGACATTGATGTGCATATATCTTTAGATTAATATTAAACTTGACGCGATGTTTACAGTAATTACCAGGTTAGTGGCCCATCCACCCTATAAATTCAAATTAAATTCAGAGATTTTTAACAAACACAAATACATGCACAAGAAAATGATCATACCTGGGAACTTATCTCGACAGAGCCATTTCTAAGGTTGCGAACTGGGTGGTTTCCTCCATGATGGCCAAACTTCATTTTGAAGGTTTTACCACCTAATGCCTGCCCAAGCAATTGGTGACCCATGCAGATTCCATAAACAGGAACCTTTCCCAGAATTTCCTTCACTGTTTCAACAGCATAAGGAACGGCAGATGGATCTCCTGGGCCATTGCTAAAAAGAACTCCATCTGGATTCATCTCTAGTGTCTTTGAAGCTGGCCATGTTGAAGGGACAACTGTTATTTCACATCCGTAAGATGCCAAGCGCCTTAGTATGTTGTGCTTGATCCCAAAATCGTAAGCAACAACCTTCATTATAGAAATTCACAATCAGACAAATGAGGGTGAGAAATTCAAAGTCACATGATTGTTTTCTTAGCATATCAAAATCTATGTTTTACTACTAACATGAAAATTTTCTCCATTTCCAGCATTATTCTTGAATTCCCAGTTCGAATCTGTTTTATTAACCCATTTATATGGGGCCTTGCAGGAGACACCACTAATCAAATCAACACCTGCAAAATTGCAAAAGAAAGATCAAGAGGTTTGATTTCTTAGAATGATTCCTCACAATCTTAATTAGATTCACCGAAGAAATCTACAACAATCTGAATCAAACTAGTGCTTCTTAACCAGTGAACCAAATCTTACCAACAATATCCCATGTGCGGGACAGTTCCAACAGTTCCTCATCGGTTTTGGATTCTTCAGTGCTGAGAACACCTATAAGACTTCCATCTTCTCTTAATCTTCGTGTAATTGCTCTAGTATCCACATCATCTATTATATAAGAGAAAAACATGAAAGAAATAGATTGGAGGTCAAAGTTACAGAATGAGGAGAAAAAATGTATGATAATCAGAGTATATTTAATGAATCCCATTGAAAGAAAAGCACATAAAAATACTAATAGAATCACTTACAGATTCCCATGATGTTCCTTTGTGCCAAGTAATTACCAAGGTTTTCCTTGCATCGCCAATTTGAGGTACTGGATAACATTTCATTGAAAATACCATTACAGCTCTTGTATGTTTCTAAAGCAGTATTAGAGAAATATCAGAGTATGCTTACCTGATACTTAAACTTCTAATCACTAAACCAGCGAGGAAGCATTGTGTTGATTCTTCATCATCTGCATTGAAAGTGGGATTTAGATTATAAACACACTAGAAGATATAGGGTCTGCATAACTTGAACCGACAAAACCTACCAAAATTAACACCAGTATTCCCAATGTGTGGGTTTGTCATCAAGACAAACTGGCCAGAATAACTAGGGTCCGTAAGGATTTCTTGATACCTACAGAAACAAACTCAAAATCAGAGCCTACACAGTTTATGGTCTATAACACAGCAAATATCACTCCATGAATAACACATACAAGTGCTATCAATTACTGTAATGAAAACACAAATAGAGTTGATAAGATATATCGGTGAACAAAACAAAATCCTAATGTCTGTGTACAAGAGAGAAATAGGGTGGGGGGGACTCCAATATTGTCTAAAATCCATCTATCTTAACCATTAATTACTTCAATTGATTAACATCTTCCTAGAAAAACTACCATTAATGTAGTGTTTTTCTTCAATCCAAGACGGTGGGGGAATGGTATTTCATTTTTGCAACTTTATCATTTCTACAAATGGATATTGTCAGCATCAAACTTTGGTCCAACAACAATTTTTTTAATTAATTGAATGTATAGAACCACAAGTGTGAAAATTATCTTTAACTCATCAGTGTCATCATTTGCCTTCATTGATTGTCTAACACTTCAAAATCTATTCATACCAACTACCACTGTTATTATGGTATTTTATAATCACTAAAGATCACTTTGCTTTTTAATAGTAACAAGCAATTAATTACTAAGGAGCCATTAATAAATGGCTGAAGTGGCAGAATTGAATGAATGTGTCTCTTAATGAATACTAGTACCTCTCATCATTGTTTTTCAGATTTCATGAATTTTGAGGCACATAAAACCAAAAAGCAACATTCAACTTTATATACAAGGAGCCAAAGGTGAATGTTGTTCAGCCACATTAACGCCTCTCACCTGAAGCTTCTTTTTTGTAGCTTTGGCACAGCTTTCTGTGTATTTCATTCCAAGTATTAACCAAATGTTGCTTGATTCTTTCCAACTCCTATTGCTAAACAGCTTAACTAAGTCTAAGCCCTCCCAAATGGACCCTAAGTGGGTTATGTGAATGTCATGATCTGTTGACTATAGAACAAAGAGGAGAGGAGAAAGGGAAGAAGGAGAACCATAGAACAAAGAGGAGAGGAGAAAGGGCAAGTATCCCCAAAGGCCCTGCACAAGCAGTTTGGACATAAAACAAAGCATTAGAGAATAACATTACCACAATGGACATAAAAAACATTGAGCAACATACTAGAAAATACTACTATCACTTTACACAATTTCTTCAAGAAACAAACATAGCATGCAAAATCCTTTCAGTCCAAGGACCCAACTAACAGCATTTTTTTATTGTTTCCTTTGCCCAAAAGAAGAGGAAAATAACAGTGTTTAAAGGGCAGAGCAAATTGGTGACTACCTTAATTGCAGGCATTGAAATAAAAATTATTCATTGGATCAAAAAAACAAATTTCCCAATGACTTTACTGTGGATGAATTCTTTAGAGGTTGGGGAGTAATAGCATCTTCCTCAATACAGAAACCAACAGTGCAGGAGTGGATCCCTTCTAGTAACAACAGAATTAAAATGAATTTTGATGGCAGCTCCTTTGGAAACCAGGTCCCATGGGCATAGGAGTCTTAAGCAGTGTTTTAAAAGGTGTGGGAGGCGTACGCCTGGAGGCAAGGCGCTCCCAAAATGCCCTGAGGTGTATGCCAGAGGTGCTGACACCTCTGAGGCATACGCCTCATACGCTTTTTTCATGAGGCATGCTAGAGGCATACGCCTCATGCACACCTCATATAAAAAGACAAAGAAAAGAAAAAAAGAAAATGGAAAGGAAAGGAAAAGAAAGAAAGAAAGGAAAAGAAAAGAAAGGGAAGGGAAGGGAAAGAAAAAGAAGGAGAAGAAAAAAAAGCGAAAAGAAAAGGGAAGGGAAGAAAGATAAGGGGAAAGAAAGTGGCCTGCGGGCACCTTCGGCTGTGGGGCTTTGCCTAGGAGTGTCAATCAACCGGTTTTGGATTGGATCCAAACCTTTTTTATCAATAATCCGATCCAAACCTTATCAAATCGGATTTGGACAAACCATTATAATTATTGGATTGAGACAATCCAAAATAAATTGGTTCATATTCTTATTGGTCTGAATTGGACCTAAATCAAATTTCCAATAATCCGATCACGAGGCCAAAACCTTGTCCAATTTGAAATCAATCTAAACTGAAGCCAACATAAAATCACTTTTATGAAGGTACTTTTACAAAAGCACTTTTATGAAAACACTTTTCCAAAAGCACTTTTATAAAAGTAATTTTATCAAAAGTACTTTTACAGAAGCAGTTTTATAAAAGCACTTTTACAAAAGTACTTTTACAAAAGCAGTTTTGTAAAAGTACTTTACACGAAATCACTTTTATGGAGGCACTTTTGTAAAGTACTTTTGCACAAAAGCACTTTTAAGAAAGCACTTTTATGGAAGTACTTTTATGAAAGAACTTTTACGAAAGCACTTTTACAAAAGCAGTTTTGTAAAAGTACTTTACACGAAATCACTTTTATGGAGGCACTTTTGTAAAAGTACTTTTGCACAAAAAGCACTTTTAAGAAAACACTTTTATGGAAGTACTTTTATGAAAGAACTTTTACGAAAGCACTTTTACAAAAGAACTTTCACGAAAGTACTTTATAAAAGAACTACAAAAGCACTTTTTTTATAAAAGCACTTCTATGAAAGTACTTTTATAAAAGCACTTCTATGGAAGTACTTTTACGAAGTACTTTCATTAAAGTGCTTTTGTAAAAGTACTTTTTATCAAACCACTTTTACAGAAGTGCTTTTTCAATGCCAAAAGTGCTTTTATATAATTTTTGATACTTCATTTGGTTTGGATTGGATCCAATCCAGTCCATTTACATTTTAATGGATTGGATTTGGACTGGATTGGGTCCAGTCCATTTATAAGTTGATTCACATTGGACTGGACGAGGTTTGACCAAATCCAATCCAATTGACACCTCTAGCTTTGCCCCCCAGACCCCCCCCCCGGCTCCCTTTTCAACTAGTGTTATGCTTCTTGACCCCCCTCCTCTTAAGGAGGCTTATGCCTACTTGTGTTCGGGAGGCTTACACTTCTTATGTTCTGTACGCCTAACGCCTCTAGGGAGTGGAATGCCCCGCGTCATGCCTCTGCGTTTTAAAACATTGGTCTTAAGAGATGGTAAGGGTGTAGTATTGGCTTCATCTTCTGGCCGAATTGGGATAAATTCCTTATCAACAAACTCTCTGCCCTCCTGCAAGGATTAAAGCTTGCAAAAACATTTTTATTGGTTACCTAATTATTAGCATTGGCAGAATAATATTCCGGTTCTGTCCACAAAATCCAAGTACTTCAAAACCTTGTCTGGGTTAAGCTTTTACTTTCTCAGACCTTATTAATTACCAGAACATTTTTCTGGTAATAAATAAAAAAGAAAATTTGATTTATATTATTATAAAGCAGATACTTTGCCTCGGGTTCTATGCAAGCCATAAAAGTTAAACCCAAATACCATATATCATTTACAGTAAATACTTATGTTGAAATAATGTACTTTGTTGCTAGTAGTCGACTACTAGCAGTATGTTGTTTCTAGTAGTCAACTACTAGACGAAGACTGTTCCTAGTAGTCAACTACCAGAGACTGTTGTATTTTTCCCTCTTTTATTTTGTCACCCTAATATAAATAGAAATGCTGGCGCTGCCAGCCCTGACTTTTTTACTCCAAATCTTCCCTTCTCTCTTCTACTCAGCAACTTTTCTACCAAGAAAACACGGTATCAGAGCAGGTCTGATAATCCAAAAGAACAGAACAGATCAGACAGGTTTGAGAGTCCTCTTTGGCCTTTATTTTCTTCCTTGTTCTTGGTCGTGCACCAAGAAAAAACCTGCAACAGGTTTGTACAACTTATGTGAAGGGTTTAGACCCTATTTTTTATTTTCTGTGGATCGTGTGGTCCTTTCTTGGAGCATATCTATAGGTCAGGAAATACCTTTGCTCGCTGTAACAGCAGTTGGGTGTTTCTTGATGGACGCAGGTCCAGTTTTTTGTTTCAGAAGTGATTGTGGTGATTACTTTATTGCTATCTGAAGTTGTATATTTCTTCCCAGAAATTGTACTGTGCCCGAACTGAAGAAAATTATCAGTTCTTTGTTCCCCCTTAGTGCTGGACTGTGTGTTTGAAGTTTATCCTGTTCAAATGGAAATTGCTATCCCACCCATTTACATTTGATCCATATTTGCTTGAGATGACAGCTATCCAAAGAGCATTGGGTTCTTTAGGGAACCTCCACAGCCATTTACCTAAGAGAGAAGAATTTTTTTCTTTTAAGTGCCCTATTCCCAAACCACCTTCCTCTTTAGGCTTGCAAACTTGTTTCCAACTGATCAAGTGACTTCACTTTTCCCCACATCCTTCCCAAAGAAAGTTCCTCTGAAGCTTCTCAATCTGATTTCTGGTTTTGGTTGGAATTTGGAAGATTGAAAGGAAGTAGACTGGCATATTTGCTAAGGAGGCCTTCAAGAGAGTAAGCCTTCCCCATTTTGAGAGATATCACTTCTTCCAAGATGAAAGTTTCTTCTCACATTTCTCCACCACTGGTCTCCAGAAATTGAGAGATTTTGGATTCCCTCCAAGAGGCATCCCTAGATATGAGATAGGAAGACTCTTCTCTTTACACCCCAACAAAGATTTGAAACTCTCCAGAAATTCCACTTCCACTGAGTTAAGAGCTACTATAGAACTTTTGCAAAAGTTAACCCTCAAACCAGTGATAAGTTCGGAACATTCAATTATCCTTTTAGTGTTTGTGATGTTGGTTATGGAGGCATCCAAGAACAAAATTATGTCATCAGCAAACTGTAAGTGTGAAATGTAAATCTTGTCCCTTCCCACTTTGAATCCTTTCACCAAGTTAAGGAGCATAGCCTTATTGAAGAGGTAGTTAAAGATGTCCATTACTATAGTAGTGAATAAAAAGGGGGAGAGCGGGCAACCTTGTCTGAGACCCCTACTAGCCTTAAAGTAGCCATTTGCTTCTCCATTTATCAACACAGAAAACAAAGAACCAATGAAACCCTTAATCCACCTGATCCATTTTCTCCCAAAACCTCTCATCTTCAAGCAACTTAAATACAGTCTCAATCCACTTTATCATACACCTTTTCTAGATCTAATTTCACTAGGACCCCCGGGTTCCCAGAGGATTTTCTGTCTTCCACACACTCGTTTGCAATTAGAATGATGTCCACAATCTGTCTCCCTTTTACAAAAGCAAATTGGTTTGGGGAAATTAGATCTTCAAGGACTTCTTTAAGTCTTTTAGCCAAGACCTTCCCTCTTTCAGCCGTTTCACTCTTGATCTTTGTCTCCAGTAAATTTCTTCTCTTCTGATCAGTTGTTCTCAATCCTTTCTCAAATCTGCTCTTCTACTTTTGTTTAAAGCATCAAGGGTCCCATTTTTGTTCTCTGCTGTCAAACTCCTCTAACTCCGTAAGAACTCTTTTCTTCTCTTCTTCAACAGCTTTAAATTCCTCTCTCCCCAAAACTTTCAGGTTTCTCTTTAGAGCTCTTAATTTCTGTAGAAGCCTGAAACCTACCCAACCCTCTAGGCCTCTACTTTGCAATCTTCCCACCATTCTGCAACTTTTTTACTGAAATCTTTGTGAAATAACTAGAATTTTTCCAGTCTAAAAGGGGTCCTTCTTTCAATAATTCTTTCAGTGTAAGCCAGTGATCTGAAGTACATCTTGGGCGAAGTTCTTGGCAAAGGTTGGGATATGGGCCAATGCAAAGTATACCTCACCAAGGACTCCAACCTTGTTAGTTAGCATGTAGATAAGTGTAGTGCCCATTGTTTACCTATGAGAAAACTACAAAAAAGAGCTAAAGCGGGGAGAAAAAACTGATTGAGGCACTAGGTCTATTGTTGCTTAGGGTTCTAATGGTAAAGCAAGCTGCATGTTGAGAACCCAATCACTAAGGAGGAAAAAAAACCTTAGAAAAACTCTAGAAGATGCATACAAAGTTCAAAATATAAAACAATCTATTACCTTAGTTCATTAGGCACCCAACCACTCATATGGATACTGATACTGATTTTTTTTTGAAAGAAAAGATAACAGATTTCATTACAATCAAAAAAGGGGGAGGGATGTACATGAGAAGATGCACAAAGCCTTGTCATAAAAAATACAAAAGACAAACCCATGACATTGGCAAAGTATGATCACTATACAAAAAATCCCTTCCCAGCCCAGATTTAGCTAGATTATCAGCCACATGGTTTAATTTTCTAGGAATCCATTTGAAGCTGCACGTAAGCAAGAGGCCAGCTCCCTGATTTCTAACAGAAAATGAGATAGCTTCCATGGGTCCATAGTCTGTCCTGAAGCCCAGTTCATGGCATTCCTCAAATCTCCTTCAACTGCAATGAAAAAGAGCTGATGAGACTTGGCAATTCTGAGGCACTCCAGGAGGGCCCTAGCCTCTGCTTCAAACGCATCAGCCACCTTTGCAGGACCACTAAAGGCCCAAGTCACATCTCCATTTAATCTTTGGATCAAACCTCCTATTCCAGCATTTGGGCTGTTCTCTTCAGACCTCCTAAAGCTACCATCAAAATTCAGAATGAGCTCACAATCTTGTCTTGGGGTGATTTTTAGGGGCGGCTGAGGGTGAAAGGGAGAGGTTGACAGAAGGGCTGGCCAATCTCTTTGTATGTCATTCCAATGGATACCGATACTGATGTAGGATATATGAATATGACTATTCAATCCAAAGATACTCATTACGGATTTATTTTTGCTTTCTTATGCTATTTATCTTTTCCAATAATGAGATTTGAGATATCTCAACTTCAATGGAATTTTAGTTACCAGAAAAACTTCTAATACTCACAAAGATATGTGTCATATAATGTTGGTCACACTTATCCAGTCTTGGGAAGGGTGAACTGGACATGGACCTGACCCTTGACATTTGTTTTGTGTACAGTGACCACTCAGACTCAAACCCACATTTTAACTCTTGTCATGTCCTCAAGAATGAGACACATACAAATGGTTCATGGATATTTTGATCAGAAACAGAAAATCAATTTGATTAAAGAAGAAATGGGAAATACATCATATAGATACAATATCCTCAACAATAACAGGACCCAAACCCATGCCTCAAATCAAGCATAATACATATAATAGTTAGACAATTCAGGTGTGAGAGGAGGGGGTCTATCGACACGTCTTCTAGGAACGAGTATTTTTTAAAAGACTTAAGTGCCCTTTTTGGCATTATGCCCTGATGGTGAAAGTAGTTAGCCCTCAGGCACTGTAAAGAGCACCAAGCAGGGATTTTATGCCTCTTTTGCAAATTTCAATTTTTATGCACATACTTGATGAAACCTTTTGCTGGTCACTAATCAAAGAAAGAGGTATGATTTTTTCACTTAAAATATGAACAACTCTTCACCCAAATTCTCCACTAAATAGCAAGATTATAGATTTTAATAGCAACATTACACCTCCCAAATGAGCCAATTTTACTATTAACTAAGTCCCTAACTTCTTTAGAAAACATTGAACAAAGTTCCAAATTCCAAAATACTAAAGAAACTTAACCAAATAGTTGTAACCCTTACATATTCAACATAGATTTTTATCAGTGAATTCAATTCAACACAGAGATCAACAGTCACTTTCCCACTTCTCCATGATGAAGCAGATGTGAAGGAAGAGGGTTTGCTGATTTATTTTATTTTTCTTCTTTTAAGAATATTTTTTATCAGCACTCTTCTTTTTAAGTATGTTAGATTAAAAGAATTTATCCTATTGACTTTACCAGCCAGGTAAATGCTTGGCCATAAGAACATGGAGTAGATAGGTTCAAGACCAAAGTCTAGAATTGACAAAATTGGGGAAAAAAGTCACACATATTCCAACAAAATACTGGAGAGAATTGAGAACCCTGAATGGGCCTATATATGGTTTTGTTGGCACTGAACTTTCAAAAATTAGTTACAGGTGAAGAAAGGCCATTCATAGACAGGAAACCTGCAAAGAGGAATGCTAACCCTCCTCCTAAGAATAAACTAGAGCTGTACTCTGACTACTGCTTTTACATTTGTCCATATAAGGTGATATAATCACCAAATTGCCCTGATGTGAAAAGAAACAAACAACCTTGACATTGACACATGTAAATGCAATGGTGAGAGTTAGATCTCTAAGCATACTTGCAACAGTATAATTAGCATCCTCAACCTACTAAATAATAGATCTAGGGAAGTGAGTCAGAAAAATTAATTATGCCAATAATTGCTAAAAAATTACATGCTTTCCATTTAGTCAAAAAATTCATTTTGAACCAAAGATCCCTGTAAGAAGTGAAAATACAAGGAAAAAGTAGAAGGAAGGCATTCTACCCTGTCAGAGATGTATTGAAAACCACCTCCCCAACTTGGGTTCCTGAAGCACCAAATGACTTCGCTCTCCATATGGAACCATCTTCAAGTACAAGTCTCGCATCTGCTACCTTCCATGGTCTTTCCCCCAAGCCTGCATTAGGATTTAAAAGTTTAGCAACTTGACTTTAACAGATTATGACGATTAATATATATTTGAGTAGGAAGTACAAATTGAGAAAATGTAGAATTTCCCATATGTAGAGAGTGGAGAAATAACTTAAAACAGGACTGTCATGTTTTTTAGCATATGAATTTTCATTTCTAGTTGGAATCCCTTAAACAATTAAGATCTCTTTAATTACAGCCTAAATTCAATAAGTAAAAAGGAAAAGGAAAGAAGCGCCCTCAGCACATTTATACATGTCAATGGATTCAGCACCCAGCACATGCCATTAGAAGGGCTAGGAATTCTGCATCAACTCCTCATTCAATGATATAACAATACAATAAATTCTTCAGCAAATAGTTCTATATGTCTTTGAGCATTTATTAAATTGGACGTTCAGGAGTGAGCATCACATTATTAGGTCAAATTCTGATACCGGAGAGCTTCCTTGGTGAACCTATTGCATGGTAAGTCCTAATATTCCCGAAAACGTGCTTATCACATTGGCATAGTGCTTGATGATGCTTGATCCTCTAGCCCTGACGTGAGGGTTTCGTAACAGCAATTATATATAAATGCAAACCAAAAGGACTGGCCTTTACTCTCCCAACTTCCCATTGTGCTCACACACACAAACATACACCCATGCCACAAGAAGCCAACCTACACAGCAAATACGACAGCTCAATGGTAGGACATTTGACACTTCATTAATGGAGGAAGGTGACCACAAACTATACCGACCTATGGACATTAACCTTTTCATAACTTGAGTAGCTGAGAAGGAAAAGATTAGTCGAGAAAAAACAAGAACTTTAAGGGGCAACCAGAAATACCCAAGCTGTTCAAAACAGCATTCATGCATGCATCAAATCTCTGACCCAACGTTCCATCTCTCTCTCTCTCTCGCTTGCTATCCCACATATCTCAAACAGAATACGAAATAATCAAATAATACCAAGCTCGAAGATTTATAGACAAAACTATAACGACTAGAAAAGGCGAATAAATTAAACAAAGGAAAAATGAGGTTGCAGAAGTAAACTTACCAACAGCAGCACCATCGGGTGAGACAGAAACGGAGCAACTAACAGCAAAAAACCGAGCTTTTACAGGATTTAGGGATGTCTCAGGAGAGCAACGAAATGGATTCCTCGCTACAAAATTCATGGCATAGATGGCCATCTCTCTCTCTCACACTCCCGAACGAAATATCAAGCAAACCCTCTCTTCTACCAAAACAATTCAAACCCTAGGTTTAAGGAACAGTTACCGCATATCCGCTGAAACCTGACTTCAAATTTTTTATTCCTTCTTGAAACGATAAAATCATAAAATGGAGTGCACGGGCATGGGCGGCGACGCGCGAAGATTACCAAAAAAACAAAGGCGACGCGCGAAGACCCCAGTAGGGTGATCCGGAGTCGATCCGGTCACCGGTCTCGCTACTGTGAGATCGGTGTGAGGCGCCAGTGTGAGGAGCAGATCCGATTTCGCTACTTCGACGGGTATTCTCCTACAAAAATAAATTTAATATCAGTCCCACGAATCAAATATTGTACTGATAAGAACATATCAAGTGTGGTGTGGTGACTTCGAATTTAACGAACGGATTTATGAGACAAATTTGAGTTCCACCGTATCCAAACGCTTATCATGGATTTGTCTCGCACTTTGGATGTCCGATTTGGGCTTTCTCCCACGGTCGGGTTGGATCGGGTTGAGGCAGCCTCACATGACCAAACTAATCTGTTCACGGTCTAGGCCGGGCTTTTCCTTTTTTATGAATGCTAAATTTCTTAAACTATTCTTATTGTTTAGCTAATTGACTAATTATATTTCTAACAATTGACTAACTCTACCCTTGTCGTTAATGTTCCATTGAAATCCATACACACGTGACACCACGTGACGTATATTTTTTCTTTAAAACCCAATTTTGCCCTTCATCCCTCTCCTTGGCGGCAGCTATAGCAAACCACTCCCCGATGGACTTAGGTGGTGGTTCAATCATTGTTTTGGTCTCAGGTAAGGGGTCTCTTTTGCTTTCTCCCCACCCTTAGACACCCTTCACATTCGTTGGAAAGTAAAGTAATCGACCCTTTGTCCCCAAATCCTATCTCCTTGTAGGTTTTTTGTTTCCCGCACTAGTAGCTTCAGTGGGCATAAACTATGGCCAAACATTTCTTCAAAGATTGACCATCAAGGATTTTTCTGGCATCAAGTCCTTTCTAGAGGAGGTGGAGGATTGGCAGTTGTCTACAACTATGCTCTGCAATTTTTAGAGAGACTGGAAGCTTCGAAGCAAGTACAAAAGAACGGGGGGAGAAGGAGAGAGAGAGAATGGGAGTTGTGCCCGTTGTTGTCACACTGTGAGCCGCTATGTGACTGGGGCAAGAGGGAGAGAGAGAGCCATTGGAATCCCTGAAGGGAGAGAGAGAGCTGCTGGAATCCCTGAAGAAATGTCGATAACCACTGCAACGGTTCATAAAATGGTTAAGAAGCACATATGAAAGCACAACGATTGTAGACACAGATCTTCACGGCTACCGATGGTTAATGACGATTAAGTGATTGTTACCGTTAACATTTACAGATGTATTGGAGTCAAACGGTTGCCGGTCTAAAGTGGGATTGTTGGAATCCCACTTTGGTGCAAACGAAATCCCATAGGGGTACACTTAGTCGGTGCAAACGACCGTCAGAATCTCGCTCAGTCTCATCTCTAACGAAGTGGGCGGACACCAGCGATGCCGTGATGGAGATTGACGAACATGGGATCCCCTCTTTTCAAAGAGAGAAGATCGGCTTGACGGATTCAATGAAGGCCAATCTAGGATGGTGCTCAAAAGTTGCAGCGACTGCCATAACCTACGACAATGATGGTGCTTGGTCTCTATTTTTTATGTGCTAAAGCAAGGGACAAAAAGGTAAATTTAGATATAGTATTAAGTATAAATTAAAGGGTAAAATGGATACTTTAACCTTTTTGTCCATATTTAACGATGCTCGTAATACAATTTTCAAACAATAAGGGTACACCTAATCAATTCGCTAAACCATAATTTAAGAAATTTACCCTTTTATAAACAGGAAATTACAAGGCCCGATTTATAACAGGTCAGGCTGAGCCAGCCCGTCAAGGTACTCGGCATATGAACAGGTCCAAGCCCAAGCAGGTTCAATTACTCACCTCATCGTAATGTAACTCTGCCTATGCTCGTTAACAAAGCCTTTAATCTCCGTGCTTCAATTAAGCTCCCGTCCTATCTCTTGTTTGGATAGGACTAAAAAAGTGATTGCTAGAAAGGGTGCTAGCTTCCTACAAATCAGCTTTAATTGCTTCTTGAAGTTAATACTCTTAGGAAATATTCCACCCACCCTAATCATGAAATGATCAATCTAGGCACTCAATTTAAAAAGTTAAGAGGCTGAGTACTCTAAATGTGAAAACATAATCAGAACAAAGTGGAAGTAGAACATTAGGATCAATTGCCTACAAATTGAAAAATGTAAGACGAAACTAAAAGAGTGAAATAAAAACCCTTTTGAGTTTATCAATGAAAAATTAAGGCTATGTTTGGTTCAATTTTCATTCTTTCTCATTCTTATCTAAGATGAAATTTTAAAATGAAAAAAATGGGTAAAAATAGGTATAATGAGAAAATATTGCCATGAACCAAAAACTTTTTTCCTAAAAATGATTTTTTTTAGACTAACAAGTGTCCCATGTTACTCATTTTCATTCTTAAAAAAAAAAAATTGTGCCGGTATTCACAAACTGCCAACCTAGGTATCCAATAGTCAATGTTGACCAATTGGCACAGATGTTTTGTAAAAGTGCTTTTATAAAAGTACCTTTGTAAAAGTTTTTTAAAAAAAATTCTTTTATAAAAGTACCTTCATAGTACTTTTTATAAAAGTGCTTTTATAAAATGATTGTGCCGGTATTCACAAACTTGTGCCGGTATTCACAAACTGCACAGATGTTTTGTAAACTGCCAACCTAGGTATCCAATAGTCAATGTTGACCAATTGGCACAGATGTTTTATAAAAGTGCTTTTGTAAAAGTATTTCCATAAAAGTACTTTTGTAAAAGTGTTTCTGTAAAAGTGCTTTTATAAGTGTTTTTGTAAAAGTGCTTCTATAAAAGTACTTCCATAGAAGTACTTTCGTAAAAGTACTTCCATAGAAGTACTTTCGTAAAAGTGATTTTATAAAAGCACTTTCATAAAAGTATTTTTATAAGTGTTTTTATAAAAGTACTTCTGTAAAAGTGCTTTCGTAAAAGTACTTCCATAAAAGTGCTTTTATAAAAATACTTTCATAAAAGTGCTTTTGTAAAAGTACAAAGTGCTTTTATAAAAGTACTTTTGTAAGTGTTTTCATAAAAGTACTTTTATAAAAGTACTTTCGTAAGTGTTTTCATAAAAGTACTTTTATAAAAGTACTTTCGTAAAAATGCTTTAGTAAATTACTTTTATAAAAGTACTGCTTCCGGAAAAATGCTTTCATAAAAGTACTTCCATAAAAGTGTTTTTATAAAAGTACTTTTGTAAAAGTGCTTTTATAAAAGTACTTTCATAAAAGTACTTCCATAAAAATGCTTTCATGTAAAAGTAGTTTTAAAAAAGTGTTTTCGTAAAATTACTTTTATTTGTAAAAGTGCTTTCGCAAAAGTAAACAACTATGACAACAGTTTAAAGGTAGAGTTTCCTCAAAAAATGAAATGAGCAAGATGGGGCATGATTATTTTTCATGCTGCAGGCTAGTCAGTTTTTGTGCTATGGGGTTGATTTTCATTCTAAAAAGAATGTGGCCATTGACAAGAATTTTGTAACCAAACACTTAATGTTATTCATTCTTGCTTAGAATGAGTAAGAATTAAGAGAATGAGGCCCATAACAATGAACCAAACATGGTCTAAGGCAGTTAAAAAAAAAAAATCGATTTGAAAAATGCAACCTTGATCCCATTAACTGAGGAATTCAGTGATTTGCATAAAAAATACGAAGAATGGCTGCGACTATGGCAGCTGAAATCAAGGGAAATCTAGTTAATAGAGGGAGATCGAGACACTAAGTTTTTTTATCTGTTAAAAGGAGAATAAATTACTATGAGGGGGCTAAAGATGCAAAGGGAAACACTTTGTCAACTGAAGATGTTCCTTGGTTTTACAAAGATGAGTTGAGGTGATTGGAAATTAGGATCCTCAGACTTCTATCGGTGATTTAGCAATTATACCTTTGCTTAATTTGACAAAAAAGCTCAGGGCGGGTTGACAAAAAATAAATTATGCATAGGTAGGGACGCAAGTCTAGCGGGGCCTAACCCTGAAGTTGCAAGCCTCAAGTTAAGGCCTTATCCAATTCAAGGTTAACCCCAAGTTATCAACCCAAGCTTAACCCAATACAACTCGTGTCGGGTTTGGGCTTAATTGGGGCTGGGCCAAGTCAGGTGGGTAGGTTGGGTTTGAAAGTATTTATGTGTATTAGTTAAATATAAGCATTTTTTGTTGGGCTTTATGACCCAATTTAAGATTACAGCTGATTT